CATCGCCGTAGCCGCGCTCCCCGCCGCCCGTGCGTCGTCTCATCGTGTCCAGGAGCTCCGCCGCCGTCCACTTCGTCGAGCTAACCGAGCCCCGCGTGCTCGTGAGGCCCGAGTCCACCGCACCGACCTCGCCCGAGTTCGCCGTCGCCGGAGATCCCTTTCAACGCCGTCGCCGCATCAGCTCGTCCCCGACCCCGCCGGTGGCCTCTACGGGTGCTCTGTGAGCCTAGCTACCCCTCCTACTCTTCCTCTCTCGCCCCCGAGCCGTGTAGCCACCACACGAAGATCACCCGCACGCACCGCCGTGGATCTCGTCGCCGACGTGCTCCCGACCATCCTCCGGCCACCTCACGGTGTCCATCGCGCTCACCACGTTGCGTTGAGTCCAACCGTGCACTCCCCGCACCTCATTGCACCCCCTAGCTCGAGTTCGTCTCCAACTGAACTCTGGTCGCCGCCTAGGTCGTCACCGGCGCCAACTCCGGCCACCCCGACCCCAACGGACTCCACCAAGAGTCGCGGGTCGTCCTCAGCTCCACCCTGATGCCCTCCGCGACCCATTTGGTGGCCGGAACGGCCAAAACCACTTCCGCCGCCGCGTCGGGCTCGCCGGCGGCTAAACGCCGGCGCAGCTGACTTTGACTTTGACCACGGGTGGGCCCAGGTTGACTCCGTTGAGTCACTGACAGGTGGGGCCCAGCCCTGTTAACTAATCTAGTTTAGTTTTAATTAAATTTCAACTAAACTAATTGCACTGACACCCTGGACCCACGCGTCAGGTTTGACCTGGACCGGGTCTGTTGACCTGCTGAGGTTAGCATGACGCAATGCTGACGCAGTAATTATTTTCTGGTTTTAAAATAATTCAGGAAATTCCAGAAATTGTTGCAAACTTCTAAAAATCATAGAAATTCAACCGTAGCTCCAAATCAAACAAATTATATATGAAAAATGATCAGAAAAATCCAATCTATCCATCTGTACTGTTTTCATGCATGTTTAAACAAGTTAACTTGCTGTTTAGTGCAAAACATGATAAAGCACTATTTAAGATCACAAATGTGTTTGGAATTTGAATCTTTGGTTCAAATTGGCTCAAACCCATCTGGTCTTAGTTGCATTAGCCCAACACACTCATACTGCCATGTCTCATGCATGCATCATATTGTTGCATATTGTTTGGTGATGTTGTGTATTGGTGTTCTTTGCGGCAGGTTCTGCCCCCGAGGAGTACCGTGATTACCCTAACGAAGAGCAATATCAGTGCACCGACCCATCAGGCAAGCAACCAACCAGTTGATCATATCGATACAATCCCATGTTCTCGCTTCTACTCTCTTTTACTGCATTAAGACAACGCGTTTCAAACTGTTGTGCGCTACGGTAGTCGAACCCATTTCCTCTGCATGACCTGTCATTGCCACAGTAACTAGATGAAACACACTAGCATGTGTAGGAGTTGATTGAGCCATATGTATGTGTTGTTCCTACCTTGCTATGCCTGCTATGCTTAGAGTCGTGTCAGGTCTGGTTCATCTGGGTGATGGGCTAGAGTGAAATGATCATGCCGGTATTGAGAGTGATGTGGTGAACACGATTTGGTAAAGGGATCGATGAGAGGCCATGTAGGAGTACATGGTGGGTTGTTTCATTGAAGCCGACCTTAAGCACTGAGATCTGTATGTGTGATTTAAGAATCAGCTACTACCATGCATTGGGCCCGAAACCAATGGACCCTCTCGGCTTCTTATTCACCCTAGTTCTCTGTCTAGGAGTTGCAAGTAGTTTCTGGTGTTTGTAGCCTACTGGAGGCCGTGGACAGCGCTGACCGTAGGGGTGGGCTGTGATGCGGTATGTACGTGGCACGGTGTACCGGATACCCATTAGGTATCTCGGGAATCCTGTACACATCGTTCGGGGCCGTATGGGAAACCTCGGCCGGACTCCCTGCGGATGGAACCTGGATAGGTGATAAACCTGGATTGGAGACTTAGGTGATTAGGTAGGTCGTGGCCGACACCCACGTTGGGCTTCCGCTTGAAGGTTGCCGAGTACATGTCGTGTAAACGGCGGTAAGTGGTGAGAGCGTGTATGAAGAAGTACACCCCTGCAGGGTTAACCTAATCTATTCGAATAGCCGCGTCCGCGGTGAAGGACTACTTGGTTGCCTATACAGTTCATAGACAAGTAAACTGGAAACTACTAAAAGCTTCAAGATAAACGTGAGTGCCGAGGATGGCCCCTCCGTAGGAAGACGGAGGTGGATTCTCGGTAGTGTATTGAAGTGGTGAGTAGTGGACTCGTGTGCGCAAAACCATTTCAAGTTGGAGTCTCGTAGGATAGTTTAGCCAAGAGTCAAAGCTGGCTTGCTGCAATAACTCCACCAACCCTTCTTGATAATGTGCATGTATGTAGGATCTGACGTAAGTCTTGCTGGGTACCTTTGTACTCATGTTGCTATAATTTACATTTTACAGAAGACGCTGCAACCCCTTCTGATGGGTTCTTCGTAGATGTTGACATCGACGAGTAGACTAAGGCCCAGGTGGTAATCCTGAGCTTGTGAAGGTCCACGTAGTATAGCTAGGCTTTCCAAGCCTCTTTTATTTTACTAGTTGTCTGTACTCAGACAAGTTACTTCCGCTGCTGGTTTGTATGACTGTATGATTTAAATGTGGGTCGTGTGACCCGTACTTGTATGTATGTTATGTATGGCTCTCTGAGTCTTTAAATAAAGTACTTGTGTCGTAGAGTCATGTTGTGATGCCTTGTTGTATTTGCACATATCGAGCATATTGTGTGTATGATTGAAATGCTTGGTATGTGTGGGATCTGACTATCTAGTTGTTTATCTTTAGTAGCCTCTCTTACCGGGAAATGTCTCCTAGTGTTTCCATTGAGCCATGGTAGCTTGCTACTGCTCCGGAACACTTAGGCTGGCCGGCATGTGTCCTTCTTCGTTCCTGTGTCTGTCCCTTCGGGGAAATGTCACGCATTGAGTACCGGAGCCCTGTTAGCCCGCTACAGCCCGGTTTACCGGAGTCCTGCTAGCCCAGTGCTACAGCCCGGACCCACTTGCTGATGACCGACACGTTCGATGCTGGGTCATGGATGCCTGTCCCTGTAGGTTTGTGCCACTTTGGGTTTACGACTAGCCATGTCAGCCCGGGCTCCTTATCATATGGATGCTAGCGACACTATCATATACGTGTGCCAAAAGGCGCAAACGGTCCCGGGCAAAGGTAAGGCGACACCCGTGGAAATACCGTGCGTGAGGCCGCAAAGTGATATGAGGTGTTACATGCTAGATCGATGTGGCATTGAGTCGGGGTCCTGACATCAACTCAATGGTTGCACTTTAGGAGTAGAGATAATATATGATTGATGGAGGTGAGGCGACGTTAGCTACGCCCCTTTAGGAGTAGAGATGACAACATGATTTTGTTTACCTGTTTTCACTCAGCATAATTGAGTTGGACCACATATAAAAGTGTCAAAATTTACGCATGCTACCGAAAGCCTCGTAATCTGAATATTATTAACAAGAATATCACACACTCATGATTGTTTTTCCTGAATATTATTAAAATACAAATAAACTTCAGGCTTCCTTTTCCCTAATCGATTTTTTAATGCCTTTAATTGATTTTTTGACAGGACGTCGCCAATGGATTCTTTTTCCCTTTCTAATACAAAGTCAAATATCTGCCGTCCGATCTCCATTAGTCATTTGGCCAAACCATCTGAGCCGTCCAAATCCATCTGCTCCAGACCTCCACGGCCTCGACTTTTTTTTTCCTCTCCACCATCCCGTATCTCTCCTCTCCCTTCTGACCTACCCAAGCTCCAGTCCACCGCCGCTGTGCCCTAGAACTGCCGCCGCGCCCGCCCTCTGCCCCTCACGCGCCTCGTCGCCGGCGCCCTCCCTGTTTCGTAGAGTCCCTGCTCTCTTCCCCCCCACGCGCAATCTTGGACTTCGGTTTTGAGGTATGAACTTTACACATCCAGTGATTACTTCAATCCCGAGCTAATCTCCAGAAATTTATGGTGTCTAGATCCGCCCCTGCTGTCGATTGCAGGTTTGCAGAGGGCTCGTCGACATGTCTTGGGCGCCAATCGAGAATGACCCTGGTAAAATTTACTTTTATAACTGAATGGATGGATTATCTGGTACTAGTCGAACCAGGTTTGCTCTGTGCATTCCGTCTTACGGTGTACTGATAAGGCTCCTCCATGATCATTAGTCCTCACTGGTGCTACTTGTTTCTGGTTTTACCGGAAATTTACTAGACGTGGATGGATATGCCAGAAACCATCATGTGTGGTCTTGTGATGGCATCTTGGACCTTCGTCTTGGGAGCTGTTACTTAATATAACTGTTTAATTTTGTGTTTAATAGTCATAGGGGATTGGAGTATCACCAAAGAACTAGCTATGAACAAGGGTGTGTGGAAGTTTGCTATCCATGTGCCCGAACCATGAGTTGGTCGCGAGATCTTATGGGTTTCACCTCTAGCCTACCCCAACTTGTTTGGGACTAAAGGCTTTGTTGTTGTTATTGTTGTTGTTGTTCGTCACAGAAGATTAAGACATGTGCAGTGTCGCCTATTTCACCTCAGGAGAGTGCCCAGCTATTTGCTCAGGTTGTTTGTAGTCCTACAGAGGCTTGCCAAGTAGGTTGTTGTTTGAAGTTTACTACGGATATGGCTAATAAAATGGTTGTTTGCGATTTAAAATTCACAGTACTAATGTGTCTTCATTGCGAGTCAAGAGGAAATTCCTCTCATACTTACTCAAGTGTGTATTGATTCCCCCTCTCTTAACAAGTATCATTGGATTGGTGAAAAAAACTGGATTTATCTTCCCAAGCATGTTTTTATATGTTAGCTACATGTTCTAACTAGAACATTTTTAATTTCTGGCTTTGCTCTTTTCCAAGAAAGAGGAAAAACTCTCAACCTCTGCATACTGTGTAGGTGTTTTTACGGAGCTGTTGCAACAGTTGCAATTGAAGGGTCTCCAAGTAAGTAATCACATACCATGAGTTCACTTTTTCTTTCCTAAGTCAGCTGGGCACTAATCACTCGATGAATTAGTACAAGGGTAAGAACATTTTTGCATTCAGCGCTCCCATACGATAAAAAAAACTTGCTATTTTGACCAAGTAGGAAAATTAAGCATGCTTTTCTATTTCATTATCTGGTTGACTTATAGGCTTCTCGATTCACCCAGGCTCGCAAATACTAAAACTATGTTTTTGAAGCACATCGACACTTTTCTTTTAAAAATGTTGCACAACAATCTGGTTTAGTTTTAGGAGCTAATAATCTGTTTCTGGTTTCTACATGTGCTTCTTTCTACGAAAGATGGAAATCTTTTTATACCTCCTCAAAAGCTGTTATTTTATAATATTCTATGTTATTCTTCCTTAACAGGTTGATGAACTCTACTCACTTGATCTTGATGCCCTCAATGATCTTCAGTATGCTATCCCTGCTGCCCATTACCATGAATGTCATTTTTCCTGAATCAACTGTGTCAAACAAATTGGTGTTTTTGCAGGCCAATTTATGGGCTTATAGTTCTGTACAAATGGCGACCTCCAGAAAAAGATGAGCGCCCTGTTATCAAGGATGCGGTCCCAAATCTGTTCTTTGCTAATCAGGTCAGGGTAGTTACGTTGATTGAGTTTGTTTGCGCTGCGTTTACTCTGCATCAGTTTTATAACCAAATCTTTTTTTACTCGTAGATAATTAACAGTGCATGTGCAACCCAAGCTATTATTTCTGTTCTGTTGAACTCTTCTGGCATCACCCTTAGCGAGGACCTCAAAAAGCTCAAGGAGTTTGCAAAGGACATGCCGCCAGAGCTCAAAGGATTGGCTATAGTGAATTGTGAAAGCATTCGTATGACCAGTAATTCATTTGCAAAGTCAGATGACTACTCCGAGGAACAGAAATCCAAGGATGATGATGTCTACCATTTCATTAGCTATGTTCCTGTTGACGGCGTCCTGTATGAGCTTGATGGACTAAAGGAAGGACCGATTAGCCTGGGAAAATGCCCAGGTGGTATTGGGGAGATGGGGTGGCTGAAGATGGTGCAGCCTGTCATCCAGGAACGCGTTGATAAGTTCTCTCAGAATGAGATAAGGTTCAGTGTCATGGCTATCACAAAGAACCGGAAGGAAATTTTCATCATGGAGCTCAAGGAACTTCAGAGGAAGAGGGAGAACCTCTTATCACAAATGGGCGATCCTTCTGCCAATCGGCAAAGGCCATCCATTGAGCGGTCACTCGCAGAGGTTGCTGCTCAGATTGAGGCTGTGACCGAGAAGATCATAATGGAGGAAGAGAAGGCAAAGAAGTGGAAGACAGAGAACATCAGGAGGAAGCACAACTACGTGCCTTTCTTGTTCAATTTCCTCAAGATCCTCGAGGAGAAGCAGCAACTGAAGCCCCTGGTAGAGAAGGCGAAACAGAATTCTCACAGCCGTAACCCTAAGTGAAACCTGCGTTGTAAAATTTTATCGTCTTGGTTGTTTTGGTTTTGTGTAGAGATGGCTGACTGGCTTTGTTTCCTAGCTGAATGGGCCTTGTAGTTCTAGTTTACAGGCAGATCTTAAAACATTCATGTAGGGGGAACACCCTGATTCCTTATCAGAATTATATGTGCATCAGAGGGTTGTTTACCTGTCTAACTCTTCCCAAGCAGCGCCCTCCACCGGCGCCTCCCCCTCGCCGCTGCCTGGGGCCATCGCCGGGCAAAGCCCGCGTGCTGGAGGCGGCGGCAGGGTCTTCTCCGTCGCTCGGCGCCCTTCCTCGGGGGTCGCAGCTGGGCGCACTCGATCCAGATGCGTCCGGCGTGGTGCGCTTGGTCGGGCCGGCAGCTGCTTGCGCGGCGGCCTCGGGCTTCTCTGGTGATGCTGTGGTGGCGGGGGCGGCCGGATTTGGTCGGATTTGGCCAGATCCACGAGCAGCGCGGGCGTGGACGGACGCGCAGGATGGCAAGGCCTGCGCGGCGGGGGTGCGTGGCGGCTGCAGCTTGGTCACGGGTAGGCACGTGTGGCCAGGCGTTGGCGCGCAGGGTGGCACGGCGAGCGTGCGCAGGGCGCGTCGCAGGCGCGGATGGGAGGCCACGACGGGGGCTCGTGTGCAGGGAGGTCGCGGCCTAGGCGTGTGTGCGCACGGTGCTGGGCGGCGTGCTTCTGCAGCTTCGCTGGGCGGACGGCGTGGATTTGCGGCAAGGCAAGGATGCTGGGGCGGCCGCCCCGGAGCGATGGTTGCATCGGCATGGGCTGCTGCGGCGGCTGGGGACGGTGGATTCCGAGCGTTGCCCGCGGATCTGACCCTGGCAAACGCGTCGTCTCTCTGTCGCATGAGGTGCTGCAGTGGGTCGTCGCGGGAGGGCTTTGGCGGCTGACGACGGGAGGTGCTCTTCACAGCAGGCTTGGTTCCGGTGGTCTGGGTATCCATGGTGCCCAGATCTGCAGGCTCACTGTTAGGAGATGAGGGACTTGGGCGAAAGCTTTTGACGACGTCGGCGCCTGCGGGTGTCGTGACCTTCTTGGAGGCGTCGTCGTAGAGTTCCTCCTCTCCTTCCATGTACTTGGGCTCTCCGGGTGAGAACCTAAACTTCAGTATTCTGGAGTGGGCGGCGGCGGCGTTTTACGTCGTAACCTTCTTGGAGGCGTCGCTTTGGAGGGTCAGCCTTTGGTTGTTGTGCGGGCTCTTTCGTTTTCATGGGCAGTGTATGCCGGGGCGGCGGCTCCGGGATCTTCAGTTGAGAGCCGAGGCGGCGGCCTCGGGCAGCAGTGCGGCGGTGGCCCCAGGAGGTAGGGTTGTTTGTCGACATGGCTTGGCTGAGGACCTTGAGCTGCGTGGGTGGCAAGGTTGTCGGCTCGGTCGACGCGTCCAGCGAGGGCGGTTGGACGGTATGTCGAGGCGGCGGCCCCGGATGTGGTGCGGCGTTCGTGGTTTGCGTGCGATCGTCCTGAGCAGTGCGGGCTACGGACTGCTGTATCGTGCGGAGTTGCTGCTCGAGGGTGAGCGGTGGCATGTCGGGGCGGCGGCCCCGGATGTGGTGCGCGTTCGTGGTCTACGTGCGGTTGTCCTGAGCAGTGTGGGCTGCAGGCTGCTGTATCGTGCGGCGTTGCTACTCGAGAGTGAGCGGTGGCATGTCGGGGCGGCGGCCCCGGAAGGCGGTGTCGGTTGAGTGCGCAGGGCGCAACGGAGCAGTGGATGTCGAGGCGGCGGCCTCGGGATATTTGCAGCTTCGAGGGCATGGACCTCGTGTCGTGTGGGCGACGTGGTTGTCATCGATGTTGTTCGTGGGTGGGCTTTGCCCTGTGTGTTAGTCTTTGGGGTGGGTTTGGCTCTTGTTTCGGTTTTCGCCTAGTTTTCCGTAGTTAACTGGGCAATTCTCTTCTACTTAATTAATAGATGAGGCAATCTTTGCCTCCGTTTCGAAAAAAGAACTTCTAACTGAAAGTTTAACAATCATGGCAGTTTTTTTAGGGTTAAGTTCATATGAACTATTGCATGCATAAACCGTTAAACAATTTCTTGAATACTTGCATATCCGAACTGATTCTGACCTATCTTGAAATATTAAGAGAAAAAACATAGGCTAGATATTTTCTTGGCAAACAACTAAAGAATATATTCGTGGCAAAGAACAGAAACACACTGGATTCAGATTTGATACATTACAAGATCAGAAGAACAGCTACAGCCGCAGAGGCATGGAATATACAACCAAAAAACAAAGGAACACCCCAGCCACGTTTACAGCATACACACAAACTATAGCATAACAAAACATTCCAAATTATGAATTTGGGAGGCGTGGATGATCCGAAACATGGATTGTACAATGACGAACAGAGCGGCTCACAGAAGTTGATTGCCAGGATTTCGATGTTGCGCCAAACAATGTGATTTATCCTGGGTTCGCAGGCAGAATGCACGCCAACCACAGCAATTGACTGATATACAGTCGATACCCCAGCCACAGAGTGCACACAATTTCACATTGGCAACTTTGCATCCTAGCCCGTGTCAAGAGCCGTAGACCTCAGCACCAGTGGAGCCTTTGCATTAACGCGTAATACTCAGTGAACCTCAAGACTCTTCCTTGCCTTTCGCAGATTGCTCCCCCACGTCAGCCTTTTTCTTGTCACTGACTGGTTTTTTGAACTGCACCAAGATCATGGTCATGTTGTCGCATCCGTCTCCGCCCATTGTTGATGGAGCCAGGCATCTGTCGAGCACTCTTTCACACACTGCAGAAAGGCTGCTCTCCTGCATTTTTGTGTCGTTGTTAAACATAACAAGTACTCCCTCTGTAGACTAATATAAGACTTTTTAGATCACTAGTCTTGCTAGTTTACAGAGGGAGTATTTGACAAACGTAAAACGTAATCTCCTCCAAAGTACATTGTTCAGATAGGAAAACAACTTGGCACTCACCGTGTTTATATGCTCATGGATGAAATCCACCAACTGCTGGCTTGACATACAGTCCCTGTTCGTTAAATAAATTTGTTGCTTCTGTTAGGACTTGAGTGCAATAGGTCAGATGAAGCATAGCACCTAGCTGCTACTAAGTTATGCACTTCAGCTGCACACGAAAGGAGAGAACAATGAGGGAAAGTGTGGCTATGCACACTGCAGGTGGAGAGCCTTACCAAATGCCATCACATGCTAAAACAAGAAAGTCATCCTCATTGCAAAGCTCCACCTAAAAACGAGATTGCATTATCTTAGAATGTAGCATAAGGATCATTGCAGATCATGATTAAGTGCGGAAATTTAAGGTGGTGCCAGCATTCAGAGGGCTTACAACATTGATGTCAGGATTTGAAGTCACTATTTGCTTCTCAGGAGGCAAGAATTTGTTCTGCTTAAATTCCATATCTCCTACACAAAGGCACTCATATAGGTAAGACACCAACAAGGCAGAACATACCAATAAAAGGGAAGAAAAAAATGCACACCAATCGCTCTCGCTAAGTTCAAACTTCCATTTATCCGCCCCATGCGTATGAACCCGCCTGCTTTTAGTATTCTTTCTCTCTCAGCTACAAGCTCTGGCTTGTGGTCTCTGGACAAATTGTATGCCTGTCATGGATGTGACACAGAACAGACAGTCTGACTGTCAGACATCTTTATGACTAATTATGTGACTAATAGCAGGAACGAGAATACATACCTGGCCAGCCCTAGAAATAACACACCGGGAATCACCAGCATTTGCCACAACAAGTTGGTTATTCCTTACTAGTGCTACGCATGCTGTACTTCCACATGTTGGCCCATCAAAGTCAGAGTGGGGTCCCTGTTCAAATATTATCAGTGTGAGATGGCTTAGTGGCCCAAATACAAAATTAGGCATACATAAAAATGGGACATAGTAACTGCATCTTCTGGACAATGAAAATTATAAAAATAGCCATTATTTTTCGTTCTTAGCTTGCAGGTTGGTAGTACTGCAATGCAGCGCAAAAGCTAAGCAAACATTACACAAACAAATAAACCACACAACTATGTATGAACCACCACATCTATATGTGATCACCCCGCCAATGCGTTGAATTTACATGCAATTTGTCAATATCCTCTGGCTATTATCTTGTAGCAAATATGTTGCTGAACATCACCAAAGTGTGGATATCACTACGCGATACAACCTAAACAAAACATGAGAGCAAGACGTACACAGAAGAAACCCCAGATACAAGTAACCAAAGCAGGGATGTCTGAATACTCTTCCCTTTCAGTTGGGATAGCTATAACTAACAAAGGATCGTCTCTAAAGCAGTAAAGCCACTTCTTGAGGCAAAGCATGGTAAAGAAAAACAGGCACCAAGAATTCTAGCTGAAAGGTTACATGTGGTGGACATCGGTATCTTTTTAAAACAATAGAGGCAACAATTGATGGTACTTCGAGATTCTCAGAATATCCATAAAATGCTATATTCAATGATTAAGCACAGAACTGTACTGTCACATTTATATTACTGTGCAGCGTAAACACCATTTTGACAACATAGCAGTAAGTCTTACATTTTTTCAAAAAATTAAGTTTGAGTAATAGTCCAAATTGCACAAGTTTACTTTTTATAACATTAAGGTTTTGAAATTGTTGCACCTGCCAAAGCTTATGAAACTCTTTTTTAGAATCAAACACAAATAAGGTCCACACATCAACAGTATCATATTATGTGTTTCCTTATTTTACAATATAAAGTAGGGTTGTACTCCCATTGCACATATACCTCCTCTAGAGTCCAGTCATCTTCTGCATTCTTCGAATCACTGCCTCTCGGAGACCAAATCAACCCTTCTATCATGCCACTGAACTTGTTCATCTTATCTCCTAGTGCAGATAGTTCTCTCCAACCTCTCTGTCCTCGCATCATTTCATCCATTCTGAAGTAATAAAACAAAATCAGTCTTTATCATGTTGATGCTATCAGTAATGTCAAAACAAATGCCAAATCCATATATTGTTTCATGTGGTGATCCAATGACCCATATACCTAAAGAAAGCTTTATGAACAGCAGTTCCTAGATCACCAGAAGAATATGCTTCACTTTTGAGAACTTGAGAGTGTAGATATTTTGCACAGAATTTGGCAACCACCCTTCCTAGAAAATAAAGAAATATCAGGGTGCACAACATTTGAAAGACTTAGTTTTAAGGTACAAACAAGAAAAGCGCCAATCTTTGCAAGTACCTCCATGGCCATCAAAAACACCAAAGAATGCTGTCTCATTGTCAAGATCTAGCAATGCTGAATGCTGAAAAATTATACAGGACATTAAACAGTACATGAGAGAAAGATTTCAGAAATATGTTTTTCTTTTGCAATATTTCAGAAACATGTTTAGTTTATATATCAACAAAATTGCAGCATTTGGAAGTGATCAACTATGCTTTATTGTGCAACAGAAAATAGGTCAGATACTCAGATCACTGTGCTAAAGCAACATCACATATCAAAGGCATCACTACTATCACTGCAACATTGATTCGTTAGAATCTGGAAAGATTGATAAACAAGAACTTACGCATCCGATAATGATTGTTATTAAAAGCATCAATCCTGAAGCCACGTAACATTGATTCGTTAGAATCTAGAAAGACTGATAAACAAGAGCTTATGCATCCGATAATGATGGTTATTAAACTGAAAGCCTGAACCTGTGACCAAAAAATAAAACAATAGCATACCTATTCTTTGTCAATTCATTAAATGAACAATTTTGGATATTGGGAATGGGCGTCTCTTTTATGGTGAAAATAATTTACACATGAAATGTTTCATGTGCCCACAAAGTCCACACCAAGTTGCCGTGGAAGATAAATAATAGAGCCTTTATGCTCTCTAGGGACCTAGATTGGACAAATCCCGAAGCCACGTAAAGTAACTGGAGGAGCAGTTAGTGGTTGCGAATCAGACATTCAGTTTAATGTTTTGTACAGCTCTCAGGAACTAAATTGGACAAATCGTGTAGCAACATTATGTCACAGGCAGGGGTGGTTGTGAATCAATCATTTAGTTTAATGTGTTCTACAGTGCCGGCTTTACACTAGCTGGGAGAGCATCGAAGCACTAGTCAAAGTCAAAACTAGAATGTGCGGCCCCACCAGCTTCAAAGTATCAGCATTATTTTTCAGGTAGTAAGTACGATCATGATAAGAAAGTTGGGTCATGACAACAAGGTTTCTATTAAGAAATGAGCTCAAGGAAAAGTAGTAGCTACACCCAAGTTCATTGCACCCCCTATTCAAGAATTCATCCGATTAACCAGTTAACTTGCCGATTAATCCCTACTCATAGGGTCACCGAGTAGCCGATAAACTGATAAATCGTCCGATTAATTGATTAAATGGCCGATTAACTTGCCGATTAGCCTATTAATCCCCTACTCGCTAGCCAACCGAGCAGTTACCAGTTAACGATTTCCTCAACAATGATTGCACCCCATGATGAACAGTAAAATCAAAACAACTACCAAAAAAATCTGAAATCTCGTGGCTTCGATTATGAACAAATGTTTTAGGTGGTTGCAAAGTTTGGTGGCCAAATAACATCAAATGAAATACAAATTCCGCTGAAACAGTGGACATGTGTTTGAGCACAAATTTTGTTTTTCTTTTACAGAGCTCCTTGGATTTCATTTGGCCACCAATTTTTGCAAGCACCTAAAATATTTGGTCATGATCGAAGCCACAAAGTTTCAGAATTTTATTTATTTTATTTGCTATGTTTTCGATCATGGGTGCAATGTCCGTGGGAGTAGAAAAACCACTTTCATGAGCTCAGTGTTGTTTTAGTTTCCTCTTTATTTTGTCTTTGTTTTCGTTTGTCCGTTCCCACCAACGGTTGTTTGTACTTTATAAGCCTTATATTGACGTTTTTCTTCTAACACACAACAACACGCATCAAGGTATGTGTTCTAGAAACAAAACTCAATGTTCAGTGTTGTTAAGTGATATCAAACAATTAGAATAGCCTTGAAGTGGAAAACTCACAGCATCTTCCATGCTTGCACGCCATCCTTGCATAGATGAAAGACCAAATTTGAGTTTATCATTTTCCCCGTCTTCGGATAGCTTATCGGTCTTTGGAGTACTGAGGTAAACTCCCATCTTGGCAAGGAAAGAAATCTGCATATCATCAAAATGGAAATATAATAGAACAGTTAAGTACTGGAAATTAATCAGGTCATTCTGAATGACACTTACACCGACAGACACATCTGTTCACAGCAAAACATATACCTGTGATGTAGAATGGATACCACAGTTCAAGTAGCTCTGAACCTTGTTAACAACATTCCAGTGCATCAAATCTCAAGCTTCGATTACAGTTCCATAGGAAGCTAAAAAGTTCCTGAAGAAAGTCAAGATGGCAAGAATCATCATCAAACAGAAGAGCAAAATCAACCAACAACAAGCTCAAATAGCAACAGAAAGACTGTGCATCAGCATGATAAGCCCAAAAGATCAAGAGCGCAACTACCCAAATTACCACATAACAGATGCAGACAATAGCAGTGGAGATGAAACAGAATGAAAATAGCAAGAACGAAAGACAGTCGGATATAAGTGCCATGTATCACCAACAAGGAAATATATAGTTTCCCAACTCCAACTTATCATTAGCTCATTTTGAGCCCTCCATATAAGAAACCCAATCATTGTACGACAGACATCAGAAGTCACAAACGACAACTGCATAACCCCAATTATACCTCCACGGCAGCAGAAGTAGCCCAACCCCCATGGCTGATAAGCTATGGCACTTTATTCAACCACCAGCAATAATTATCACAATGAATACTACGAAAAATCTTTTCAAAATGTAAGACACAAGATGATACTCCCTCCGGTCCTTTTTAGTTCGCATATAAGATTTATCTGAAATCAAGCCTCGTAAAGTTTGACCAACTTTATAGAAAAGAACACCAACATTCACAACGTGAAATTAATACCAGCAGATGCGTCATGACTTAAAGTTTCATACTGTATAACTTTAACATGGTAGATGTTGATATTTTTTCATATAAATATGGCCAAACTTTGCGAAGTTTGACTTTAGACAATTCTTATATGCGGAGTAAAAAGGACCGGAGGGAGTACGAATTAAAAAACGTCCTGGTAACACATACTCCCTCCATTCCACAATGTAGTGCTTCCTCTATCCCCGTGCTTCAACTTTGACCGTAAATTTAACTACCAAGACCGATTGCGGCGGAAGCAAAAGTTATATCAGTGAATTCGTATTCGAAAGAAGTTTTTAATTATGTAACTTTTTCTCCCGCCGCAGTCGGTCTCGTCCGTTAAATTTATGGTCAAAGTAAGACCTCGGAAAGCGCGCGGGCGCGCTATATTTTGGAATGGAGGGAGTATTTTTTCTGATAAAATAAGCTGCAGGTGAATTCTTTTAAGATAATAATTGAATAAAATAAGCAGCCACCTGTACTGCTTCGTATGATCCACCCATAGAGCACATTCCAAGTTAGATTCGCGCAAATCCATCGCCAATAAACGAGAAATGCCCCATGATGACAGGGCATATAATGATACGACCACTACACAGAAACCATTCCTGGCTCTCAAATCTAAAATCTCCACTCCACCCCCAACAGCTCCCAATTCGGCAACAAGAACCCCATCCCAAGATCGACCATGATACCAGCAGTCAGCAGCCCACCTCGAGAAACCCGACCTCGGCAGAGGGCTGGGAAGAACGGAGAAGAATGCACAGGCCAAGAAACCAGCTGCATCGAGAAAGGAAGCAAATTCTCGGACAGGATTTTATTGTACCTTGCATGACGGCTGGCGCGCGCAGCTGAAGGTGGCGGATCACGGCCGGGTGCGCGTGTGCCGGGCTGTCGCTGGGAGGGGGGGGAGGGGATTCCGATTTGGAGTTTTGGAAGCGGCGCGGGAGGAGGAGGGCGGCCCTTGCGGTTGCGGAGGGGCAAGGAAGGTGATAAGATGCAGCGTGAGATGGAATTTGTTTTCCTTTTCCGGTGGGCTGGTGTTGGTGGTGTCGCCGCTGACAGGAATGGAATACAAAATGTTCAGGCGTCACGTTCCTGTCACGAGAATTTCCGTTTTAGCCTGTCAGCAGCTCTTGTATTCTTCACAGCGCAGCCTGACAAGAACCTACTTAATGTCTGAATGACAGGTAATAATGTTTCTTCTTTTCTGAAATTCTTTAGTGATCTTTCATGCTACATACTCCCTCCGTTCCTAAATATTTGTCTTTCTAGACATTTCAAATGACTACTACATACGATGTATGTAGACATATTTTAAAGTGTAGATTCACTCATTTTGCTCCGTATATAGTCACTTGTTGAAATGCCTAGAAAGACAAGTATTTAGAAACGGAGGGAGTAGATAATGTGGGTTGTAAATTGACCCAGTCCGAGGGAGGTGGGAACTGGGAAGGGACGCCAATGTAAATTCCGAACTACTCTTTCTGTTTGAAAATACTTGTCGGAGAAAAAAATAAGAAAATAAAAAATAATGTATCTAAAACTAAAAATACGTCTAAATATATCTATTTTCTTCAACAAGTATTCCCAGACGGAGGAACGAGATGTAACAACAGTAATACTCCCTCCGTCCTAGATTACTTGTCACGAGAATGGATGTTCTAGATAGGAAGCAGATCTGTAGAAGTAAGAGGAGATTACACCGGGCCAGTTCTTTTGGGCGATTCTACCAAAATCGCCCCCTCCCCAGCTTCTCCCAGAATCACCACTCCATATGTTTTTTACAATCCTAACTAATTAGACCTTAACTAGATAGAATTGTAAAAAAATATGGAATGGCGATTCTGGGAGAAGCTGGAGAGGGGGGCGATTCTGGGAGAATCATCGAAAAGAACTGGCCCCAAGTCCATGTGTCAGTGTCAAAATCGGCAGATCTCGAGTAGGGGGCTTGAGTTGTTAGATCAGATCAATGGGTAACAAGAGAGAACATGCACAAAGTTACCTAGGTTCGGGTCCTTTCTATGGAGGTAAAATTCTATGTCCTGCTCTTGCTTATATTATATATGTGTCAAAGTACGTAGTTGATCTACCACGAAATCGTGAGTTGTGAGATAGACCCTAGAGATATGATGAATGGGTGTTTGGATGCCATAATAGTAATCTATTGACTAGCCTGACCTCGATTATATAATGTAGCAGAGACCTAGGATAATAAGAGTCCTAGTCAGATATGTCGGTAGAAGGAGTCCTTGTATTGATCACCAAGTCTTTGTGGAATCTTTCTCGTATATGTCATGTGTTGTCCGAAGTGGCCCGTTAGTGAACCGTCATGGGGGTCCTCGGCCCGATCCACCTGGTCGGGAGACGACGTGGTGAATACCCCTAGTCAAAGACACCGTTAGTATCCTCCTGAACCGGTCCTCAAGTTGGGGACGCTCATCGGTTCTTCCGAACTGTTTTCATCTTCGGCTATCGGTCTTGAAAGTTGGTTCAACAAATCTTCCCGTCTTCCATTGATGACCCACAAGTATAAGGGATCAATCATAGTCCTTTCGATAAGTAAGAGTGTCGAACCCAACGAGGAGCAGAAGGAAATGACAAGCGGTTTTCAACAAGGTATTTTCTGCAAGCACTGAAATTATTGGTAACAGATAGGTTGGTAGCAAGATAATTTGTAACAAGTAACAATAGTAACAATAGGTGCAGCAAGGTAGCCCAATCCTTTTTGTAGCAAAGGACGGGTCGGAACGGTCTCTTATAATAAGTAAAACGTTCTCAAGGAAATATAGGAATTTCATCTAGTCATTTTCAACATGTTTGTTTTATTCGCGTGCACTCCTTTGATAATTTGATATGTGGGTGGACCGGTGCTTGGGTGTTGTTCTTACTTGAACAAGCCTCCGACTTATGATTAACCCCTCTCGCAAGCATCCGCAACTACGGGAAAAAATTAAGATAAAATCTAACCATAACATTAAACATATGGATCCAAATCAGCCCCTTACGGAACAACGCATAAACTAGGGTTTAGGCTTCTATCACTCTAGCAACCCATCATCTAATAACTACTCCACAATGCATTCTCTTAGGCCCAAAGATGGTGAAGTATCATGTAGTCGACGTTCACATAACACCACTAAGGGAATCACAACATACACATCATCAAAATATCAAAGATGGTGAAGTGTCATGTAGCCGGCGGGAGGGCTCCGTTTCCGTGTGCTTCTTCAAGTTTTGTTAGGGTTTGTGTCCTGCTCAAGAAGACGAGACGACGGAGGCTTCTTGAAGATGGAATAAGGTTCTCCCCGCCCAGCCCCCGTCCCAATGGTGTGTCTAGCATCATAGGAGGGCGTGTGGAGGTGTGTTTTCGATGGATCTCGCGGGATTTGGTTGGTGGTTGTCTTTGGTGGATTCGGTCGGATCCGGTCTTTGTTCGTCTTTGTTCATGTGTCTTCAGGTTGGATCCTTCCGACCTAAACTTCTCTTCATCGGTTTCTAGGGTGTTGGTCCTATGGGACCTTAGCACGACGACTTCCCGATTGTCTACTAAAACAAGTTGTGCCCGACTCCGGCGAGGGAGGGGCGATGACAGCGACGCGCCTTCGGCTCGCTGCAGTGCTTGTTGTCGCTAGGTGGTCTATGAATCTGGATGTAATTTTTATTATTCTGGAGTTTGTTGTACCACCATGATTGAAGATGAATAGATCGACAGTTTCCCGCAAAAAATCAAACGAATACCAAATTCACATGATTACTTATGACAAGACTTCTCCCATGTCCTCAAGAACAAAAGCAACTAGTCGAAAATAATATTCATGTTCAAGATCAGAGGGATATTAAATAGCATAATGGATATGAACATATAATATTCCACCAAATAAACCAACTAGCATCAACTACAAGATGTAATCAACACTACTAGTCACACACAGGTACCAATCTGAGGTTTTGATACAAAGATTGAACACAAGAGATGAACTAGGATTTGAGATGAGATGGTCCCGGTGAAGATGTTGATGAAGATTGATCCTCCCACGATGAGAGGGTTGTTGGTGATGACAATGGCTTCAATTTCTCCCTCCCGGAGGGAAGTATCCCTGGCGGAATCGCTCCACCGGAGAGCAAAGGTGCTCCTGCCCAAGTTCCGCCTCGAGACGGCGACGTTCCATCCCGAAAGTCCTCTCCTCATTTTTTCTAGGGAAAATGGGCTTATATACCAGAAGATGGGCACCAGAGGCTGGCCAGGGGCCCCACTACCCACCAGGGTGTGCTAGGGGGGTAGGCGCGACCTGGTGCCTAGTCGGTACCTGGGTGGCCCCCTCTGGTATTTCTTTTCTCCAA